AGGGCCAATAGGAATTACAACAGGTGCTGGAATGGGATTAATAGAAACTAATCATCAAGATGGATTGGTAAAAGTGAATTTAATGTCCGTAATTCTGATGATCAAACCGCTAATCATTAATGGTTGATATATCGTATAAATTAGCAACCAAAGATCGTGAATACTTCTTTTTCCTTTTATGAAGGACTTTTTGGATATTTTGGCTATATATGGCTTATATATGGCTTTTGAAGGATATTTATTTTCAAACATATCTCTTAAAGAATCTCATTGAAATGCATCTACATGTTTGTGTAAAACAACAGAGATATCTTCTTTCTTGCATTTTACGTTCACTATCGCTTTCTAATGATATTTATTTTTCGAATTTTCAATGCTTTAATGGAAGCATCAAATATTGAAATTCGTTATTGCCTGTATCTTCTTTATAATTACATGATTTCGCGTCTCATCGTAATGTTCAGATTTTCGTGAAAGAAACAAGATTGTCAATGAAGATGAAGAGGAAAGAATAATTTTAATTCACGTTCTTGTCAAAATGCGGATCAATGAGTTTTTTTATTTAAGGGATTTTGTTTAAAATGTAAATTTTATGAAAAATTATAACTTTAGCCTGCTTTCGGGTGGCACGGAAGGAAGGCTGAAATTATAATTATTTGGATATTTTTATTCATAAAAATTTGGTCGGATATTTTTTTTCTTATTCATTAACTTATTTATTACTTATAAAAAGATATACCGCTATATTTTTAAAAACTTGTATAAAGTAATTAAATATTTTTATATACTTATATAAAAATATTTCCTACATAAATTTAAATCGTAAATCACATAAAAGCAAATATTTTTTGAAAACAATATATTACTGTTAGATGATTTGTTCTTCGATATTTATTGGAAAGCAATGAAAATTAGCATGAAATTAATAATGCAATAATTATGCGTCAGGTCAATAAATACATAAGTACATTGAGGTTATTATTGACGAGTTTTTATTTCGTATATTCCTTATCATTTTCATCATGATAAATTGATTTGCATTTTTTGTTTACAGTTATCTTAGATTTCAATAATTCGAGCAAAAACTTAAAAATGAAGTTTTGACCTTTAGAATTGTTACACCTTTAGATCGTGTTGGATATGCTGAATAAATAGTAAAGGGGAATAATATTAAACTGCTTCTATCTGATTTTATAGTTTAGTGTAAAAGTGAACTCTGTTCGAGTATATACACCTATCGTGAGTACGGAAGGAAAGTACGTTTGTGATTAAGTTATTAAGTACGTTAATAATTTTTTTTAAAGCATATACGCAATTTTAATTCATAATTGGAAAATACCTGTGAAAGAGAGTAAAATCTGTATATATATGGAAAAAAAAATTTTACAATTATTAAAGTATATATTTACAATTATGCGTGATATTACGTGAAAATAATAGTCAGTGTGAGAGAAACAATTACGATACTTCGTTTATATGTTTCGTATCTTTTTTATTATATTATTTCATAACATATTATACTTTTATGAATATTTATTTTCTAAAATTTTATATTATTATAAAATATTATATTATATAATTTTATTATATTAATTTGCAAGTAGCATTAAATATAATGCAAATATAAACTATATATTTAACATTTGACGGGGAATTCAGTATAAAAAACAAGCATAGAATCGCATTTTCGAAACGAATATTCAAAATTATGTTCTATTCAAGATTATGTATTCAATATTGTATATTATAATATATAAACGACATTATTGTAGAAAGATCGTTTTCTCAATTAAATGAATTACATAAACTTTTCTTTTTTCCTATTTTATGCTGTTGTTGCTTTTTTTTTTATTTCTCTATGAAATCGACAGTTCAATTGTTCAATTACATCGATTTATAATTCATCGAAGTCTGATTATTATTTAAATGTTATGTTTCTTAATTGAATTGGGAGATGATAAATAAAGAATAGAGAGAAAACTATCGTAAAATTTGACGTAAGATTTGAAAACAATAATGATAATGAATCCATAACGTGAGCGGTTTTTTTTTGTTTTTGTTTTATCGAACAATTTCTCAAAACGGTAGGCTGAAAATAAGATACCTATTTATTATAGATATAGATATAGATATGTATCTTATATTGCATACGTACTTATTGTGGATAAATTTCGACAAACCAATGTCACAATCTCACTCCCCTCATAACGCACTGTGTCAATTGATTTTTTTGCGAATAATTTCAAGACAAGTTAGAAAGGTGAAAAATACTTTCCACGAAAAATTGCTTCTTTGATCATAATCATAATAGATTATAGAAGAAAATATATTGTAATAATCAATTAAAATGTAGATTTATTCGATTGTCAACCGTATTTAACATTCTTTATTTCCCATTATTACTTTTCGTACGTTCGCATCTCAGAAAAGTAGTATGTAGGTATATATACATAAACGTGCTTACTATGAATATATATTTTATAATTGAAAGTGATCGTCAGATGAATATGAAGATAAAAGAAAAGACGCAGTTAGAATAAAATGCGTTAAAATAAAAAAATGCGTCAATAATAATCGAGAGTACAATTTATAATTTTTTCAGAAGACATTTCAGCTTCGTCGCGTTAGCATATATACTCTGACGTTAAGGTTATAAAATTATCAGTTTTCTTTTCAGAAGCAGATTAAAAAAACTCGTTCGAAAGAGAAAATTATGATATAGAATTTAAAAAAATTTCTAATTCGCGCTTACTTTTATAGATCAATTTGGAAGAGTAGAAATGATGAAACCGCTGTTAGAAGAGTATGGTCAAGAAGTGGCCCTTGATTCAACAGTTGGAACATCAACTATAGAATCGTCCGTCGAAATAATCGATAAGCTTACACCTATTCAAAAGTTTTACGACGATGAAAGTGTATTTTTAACTGGCGGAACTGGATTCATGGGAAAATTATTAATCGAGAAATTGTTAAGAGGATGTCCTGGCATCAGATGCATTTGTATTTTGATACGTTCGAAAAAAGGGAAAAATGTTCTTGAACGCTTGGATGAACTTATGGAAGATTCGGTAAATTGTTTATTATTTCTATATTTTCTTTGATTCCTTATCTATGAGATTCTGTATTTATTAAATAATGTATACAGCGTGTCTTATTTATTTTTAAAAAATGGGAATATTTTGTGAGAGGTCAAACTTAAAAAAGAAAGTTTTTGTACGCATTTGTTTAATGTAAAAAGATCCATCATTCAATTTCAATTTCTTTTTAAGCGTATTAAACGTTGGGAGAATTTCAAAGTCAAATTCATTTTTTTAAATCGAACTATATAACTGCTTTTTGATAATTGGATTGATTTACATTCATGTTGAATTCTATGCAGTATAACAGTCATGAACTAGTGATATATATTTGTATTCCTTATTATTTGAGATCTCACGAATTTATAATGTAATTTATAGTATTTTATAATAATAAATGACTTCATATAGAAAGTCGTCGAATTCGTCTCAAAAAATCATTGAACCATGAAAAAAGAATATATATTTCTATTAAAAAAATGAACTTAACTGTAGAATTTTCCATATCGTTCGAATTATATAAATAAATTTGGCACCATCCAATGTTTCCGATCATATCAAACAAATCTCTTCAAAAATTTTTTTGCTCTCTTCAGTCTCTCAAATTTTAATTATTTGAGATAAATTGAATACCTTGTATATACTTGCTAGATATACGAAACAAGAAATTAATAAATAAATTATTGGTTTAATGTACTTTAAACATGTACGAAGTCTTCGAATGCTATTTATTTTTTTATGACATTTATTTAAACGAAATAGACAAAATTTACAACTCTGTGCGTTTTCTAGTTATTTTCCAAGTTGAAGGAAGTAGAACCAAAATTCTGAAAACGAATAGTCGCGATCAAGGGAGATTGTAGCTTACTAAATTTCGGTATTTCCAAAATTGATAGAACTACACTCATACGCGAAATATCAATTGTTTTCAATGTCGCCGCGACCGTGAAATTCAATGAAGCAATGAAAGCGGCGGTAGCTATGAACGTCCAAAGTCTAAGGGATTTGATAAATTTATCCAAAAAAATGCCGAATCTGAAGGTACCATCTTTACCCTATATATACTTACTAATAACTATCAAGGAATATTTCGAGGAATACATTGACTTTTGTAAATGTTCGTTATCTTTGATAATTTAGAGTTTTGTACACATATCAACGGATTATGCTAATTGTCTTCATAATTCGATTAAAGAGATATTTTATGATCCACCTATGGATGGGAACAAGTTGATTGATCTGATGAATTCTTTGGATGAAAAATTGCTCAACGCCATTACACCGCGATACATTTAAATTTCCAAATAATAATTCTTTTTACTTATTTCACATTTATTTACAAAAAAAAGAATTTAAGAATTTGTATTATGCATTAATTAATAATACATTTACATCGTTCCTTTTTTTTTAGATTACTTCGAATATGCCCGAATACATATGTGTACACCAAATCAGCCGCTGAAGATATGATACAGAAGCATGCTAAATCGATATCGATTGGATTCTTTCGTCCTGCAATTGGTTGGCAGTAATATAGTTTGTGTAGAATAATACAAAAAAAAAAATAATTAATATAAATAATGTATATTAATTAATGTAATATTTTTAGTAACATCAACTTATCGAGAACCTTTTCCGGGATGGATCGACAATATAAACGGACCAGTAGGAATTACTGCATCCGTTTTTATGGGATTAATGAGAACTCATTATTGTGATGGATCCTTAAAAATAGACTTGGTACCCGGAGATCTAACTATAAATGATCTAATTGCGAGTGCCTGGAATATTTCAAATAAACATCGGTAGGTTCAAATGATTTCGTTTACACGGAAATAGTATTTTCACGATCATATTAAATAATGATTTTAGAAAAAAGAAATTATATCTTCTTTATTCGAATCGATAATGTTTCATATTCAGCGATGATATTCCCATTTACAATTACATATCTGAAGATAATGTAATCACTTACAACAGACTGAAGAAAATATTATTTAAATACGGACAATTAATGCCGTTTAAGGAAGCAATTTGGTACTGTTCTTTAAACATAACGAAATACCGGCCGGTCTATTTATTCTACGTGTATTTTCTATATTTACTACTATTAGCTTTTATAATTGATACGATCGCATTGTGTTTATATAAACGGCCAAGGTAAATTTTTCTGATCTTATTCTCTGGAGGAAAAGCATTAGAACGAAAAAAGGGAGAAAAATTTTATACTGATAATAATATTATTCGTTCAAGATTACTCAGAATGTATAATAAAATACACAAAATATCGGACAATTTTGGTTATTTTTCTATGAATGAATGGAACTTAACAAATGAAAGATGGAACGAATTGATGAGGAATTTAACGCCTGCGGATGACGAATTGTTCTTTTGTAATATAAAAAAGCTCGATTAGGATAGTTACTTTCAAACTTATTTCCTAGGGATAAGAATGTACATTTTAAAGGATTCCATTGATACGCTTCCGCAAGCTCGTATAAAATGGCAAAGGTATCTTCTTTCTTTCATTTTTACATTATTGTTTATCTGTCATTAATATTAATTTCTAAATGATACTTATTTTTCGAATTTTCAAGACTCTATTGGATGCATCAAATATTGAAATTTGTTATCGCCTATTTTTTTCTTATGGTCGCATGGGCTATCGTTTCCGGACTACTTGCAACGTTCAGATCATCGTAAAAGAAGCATAATAGTGAAAGAAAATGAAGAGAAAATAATAATCATAATTTAAGTTTTCATGTATATACAAACCAATTATTTTTCATATTTCATGGATTTGAATTAAACGGTATGGCGAAGAGGCAGGAGTAAATTATTATTTTTTATTTGTAATCTTTCAACGAATATTTGGGTTTACCTTTTTTGCATTTACTCTTATTATTTACAAATAATGTACTTATCTATGTAGTTTGGATGGGTATGACAAAATAAATATCATTCACAAAATATATATAATATATATATATATATATAATAATATATATATTATTGTGATTATTGCAAATCTGTTTTAAAATAAATTTATAAAATGCTATATATCGTTCTATTTCTCTTCATAAATATTATAAAATATTTTTCATGAATTAAAAAAACAGTATATGCTTTTAGCTTTTCCTTCTATTTCGTGACGCTGGAACAATGGATATTTTGAAGCGGTAAAAATAACTTTGTTTGCAATGCAATTAGATATCCCACAACATTTTGTATCATGAATGTGCACGGACTGCTTGGAAATAAAATCTTTTTGTACTTTCCTTACGTTTCTACCAATCGCATATATTTCTAATTAGTAAACTAGTAGTTGAATAATTTACCGCTTTTTTCAAAATTTCTCAGAAAAATATTAATTTGTTAACAAATTATAGCAGTTTCTTCGGATTTAACGTGTTGGAAAATAATGTCACATAATCCTGTATTTAAATGAATTAAATAATTAAGTGAATTAAAGCATTAAATAAATTTTCACAAAACAGTACTTTCTAATTTTCACAAAAACCAATAAAATTACAATTTTCTAAATGCATATCCATATAAATTTTACTTTCACAATTATTTTTCATAATACTTTAAATGAATTTTCACAAAACAATACTTTCTAATTTTCACAAAAACCAATAAAATTATAATTTTCTAAATGCATATCTATATAAATTTTACTTACTTTTAGAATTATTTTTCATAGGGCAGAATTAAATTAATGCGCTTTTAAAAAAATTATGAAATTTTAAAATAAACGTTCCTTCCTTCCTCTTACTTTGGATAGAGATGTTGCTCGAACGAAGTCTATCTTTGCACTGAAGCAGTACCCCTCTACTTTCAATTTTAAACTCAATATTTCTTTTAACAACCTTGCTTTTTTTACGCATAATCGAAGGTAAGTAGCCTGAAAAAAAGTAAAAGGTAATAACTGGTTAGAACAAGCTTCTATTTTTAATGCGTACAATGAGGCCATAAAAATTCAAAAAATAAGAATCATTTAAAAATGATTGTCAACGATAAATGAGCATTTAAGAAAGAAGAAAAAAACAGTTGTATTTATCATTTTATATAAGATTATAAAAGTATTTTAATAAGATTATTTAAGATACATATCTTATGCTCAGAAGATATGATAATTATAGAGTACTTAAATATTAGAAATGATATCATTTAGAAACAATTAATTCACCGATCATTACTTGTTAACTTTCTTTTCGGTTCATTTCATTTATTCATATACTTTCATTTGATCGTAGAAAAATGATCGACTACATCCAATATTTTGTGACAATCATTCAAAAGTTTGGAATCAATTTATATAGAATGATTACATTGTAAGTATACTCAATAAAATGATACTCCTTTTGAATAATAATCGAAAATGAAACTTAATTCTCCTAATAAATAAATAATTTAAGATATGTCACATATTATATTACATAATCGAATATTAATTAAGAATTTAAATAAAGTAAAAATAATTATTATTATAATAAATAAATAATTTAAGATATATCATATATTATACTATATAAATAAATTTTTTATAAATATTCTTATTATAATTAAGAATGTGATTGGGTAATTACCATATAAATTATAACTGATAAATAATTAATATTTATTTAAAATTAAAATTATAAGATATTTAATTATTTTAGAATCTTATGTTTAATTAAATATTAAGTGGAATTTAAAAAGTAAGAAGATTATTGAAATAAAGAATATTTTTTAAATTAAAAAAAAAAAAAAAATAAAAAATGGAATATTTAAAAATAATAATTTAATTATAACATAATATAATGTATAAATAATTAATTAATGTATATATTTAAATTATAGAATATATTTATTAATTAATTATTATTATTTATATATGTTAATAAATTTTATTATATTTTAAAATGGACTCAGATTCGCAAATACATCTTGTACTTGATTTTATCTTTATAAAATCAAGAATCCACCTTTTGGATCAATCATTGAATGAGAAAGTTACGAAACTACCTTTCAAGTGAGTAATTTAATTCTCTTTCAAGGAAATGATTACGCTCTCTTGATTTTATTTCTGTTTTTCTCAATTGATTTCGTGTAAACGTAGAAGTTCGTTCATATTATAAATATTCTAAAATCAAAAATATTAATGTATTTTATATAATGGAAGGTAAACGTACTCTAATCTAAATAAAATAATAAAACAAATCATTAGAAGAGTCGATTGTACTTTTTATCTCAATTTCATATTTGCTCATTTAAATATTTTGAAAGAATATTAATAATATTTTCTCACGATATAATTAATAATATATTTAATAATATATTCTCATAATTTTAATAATATAATAATATATTCTTACAAATTTTTCAGTTTAGATTATATACATGGAATATATAAAATTAGTAATCGTGAATGTTATGACAAATAATGTAAAAAGTACACAGAGAAAAATTGCTTATGCCAATGTTTAGTATATCGTAATGAGCCATCGTGTCGTTCTAATTCGTCGTCAGTAATGGAATTATTTTTAAATACGTAATTATCAACATGAATATCTTCGTTGAATCTGAAAGATAAGATCTATCATTATGAGTTAATTTAATTGTTTCTAATCTTTATTTGTTTTGATTAAGAAAATATTATCTAAAAGTACATGAGATCATTAGACTATTTACATTCGATTATTTACATGTTATCAATACATTCTCGATATGTAAATATTACAAAAAATGTTACATCAATTAATATACATCATTTATTGTTTTCTTTTACAATAATTACTATTAACTTAATTTCTGGATGAAATATTTCAATCGGTATCGTCTCAATATTCTTGGACACCTAATTCTGAACGACTGATTTCATATGTAACGTAAGTATTCGATCACATTTCAAGTAATACGAAATTAAAAAATTGTATGAGTGTATTATTAATTAACGCGTATCATCTATTTTGTTAATATATTTTTATATTAATAAATGTAAAAGTGATATAAAAGAATTATACTTGGAGATAATAAACGTTCTGCGTTGTATTATCGTCGAGTGATTTTTCGTCTATAAAATCAATCAAATTGATCAATTTGTCGGACTGTACCAGATAATTAGCATAATCCGTGAATACATGAACGAAATGCTGAAATATTAATAATAACGGACGTTTGCTAATCTCAGAATTTTCATTGAAAAACTCAATTTTTGACATTTACTTGAACAAATTTATCGCATCCTTCAAACTTCGAACATCAATGTCGAGCTTAAGACGAATTGAGACCTCGAGTATAAATGTAACTCTATTTGAGATTTGACATAATTGCTCTCAATCATGATTATAATATTTCAGAATTTTGATGGATTTTCACTCAACGTGGAAAATAACCATATAGAACAACACATTGAAATAATTGCAAATCTTTCACGTCTCGTTTAAATAATAACCATAAATACTTATTACGTTAAAGATGAAGATATTTTGTACGTTCATAGTGCACTAAATCAATAATTCATTTATTAATTTCTCTCTTTTCAAATTTACTAAATACGGAATATACCAGTGAAATTAAAAAATTTCAAAATTATATATTAAATAATATAAAAATTATATATTATATAATATATACTGTATATTAAAGTAAATCCTTGATGAATTTTCCCCTGTGTTGAATTATATTTTTTCTTTCTTCGAACATTTCAAAAAACAAATGCATTTAATGCCGGTACATATTTTTAAAAATTTCTTGATGGATTATTTGCATATAAATCCTGTTTCACCGGTTATGAAAATACTTTAGAAGTATTATATATAGTACATATATCGTAAAAGTCCCAAGTCGGTTGATAACCGAGGTAAATTTCTCATAATTTATTTACTGAAGGGAAAGCATTAGAATGCTAAAAGAGAGAAAAATTTCAAACTGGCAATAATCATTTTCGTTAAATGTATAATTTAACGAAATTGGAATGTATAAAAAAATTCACCAAATGGCGGACGTTTTTAGTTATTTTTGTACGAACGAATGGACGTATAC